CTCCAGGCCTTCCGGAAAGCCGTCAAAACCTGGCTGTGCCGGCAGGCCTGGGGTTGATGAGTTTCCCTCCCCTCTCGACCTGTGTGGCTGTTGTGACTCTTGGTTATTTTAATTACTTGTATTGTGTTTTATATTCCCTTTTTCCCCCTTTGAGTTGTTCGCCGCCCTGAGTCCCTCCCGGAGAAGGGCGGCATGCAAATAAACTAAATCTTAAATCTTAAATCTTAATCTTGTGCCCCCTACAGGTGGGCACCTTGCGTTTCTGTGGCACGACCGAGTTTGCCAGCGGCCAGTGGGTTGGCGTAGAGCTGGACAAGCCTGACGGCAAGAACGATGGCAGCGTGGGTGGCATCCGCTACTTCATTTGCCCACCAAAGCATGGTGAGTATTAATCAGGGCTGGGCGCACAACCGACAAAGAATTAATTCCCCTTCTGTCAAATTCGGATTATGTCAAATGTCAGAGAAGGAGAAAGTTGTCCGTGGTGGAATTATTGCCAGGGTTATTAATCGTTTTCTTCTCTTCTTTTGTCAATTTTAATTGGGTTTGGGATATTCTATTTATTTATTTTTTAACCTTTGTATTACGTCTTTCTTTTAATGTTGTACACCGCCCTGAGTCCTTGGGAGAAGGGCGGCATATAAGTCTAATAAACCTGAACCTAAACCTCTCTTCCCTTCCCAGGGCTGTTTGCTTCGGTGTCCAAGATCTCCAAAGCAGCTGACCAAACCCCGTCGGTCACCTCCACCCCACGGACCCCCCGCATGGATTTTTCCCGCATGACAGCCAAAGGACGCAAAGAGAAGGACAAGGACCGGAAAGGTGCTCTTTTGAGAGGGGGATGCAGAAGCACCCCCCACACACACTTTCCCCCTGGCAGCTGGCAGAGCCCGGAGAATGGCTTCTTCCCTCCGATTTGACTCAACTGCTCAGGTCTTGGGGAATCGGTGTTGGAGGGGGCGGCCCATAGGAGGCGGAAGGAGGAGGAGAAGGAGAATATTAAGGAGAAGAGCCATTTCTTCCCTCTTTTGGGGAGAGCAAAGGGGTACAGAAGAGCACAAACAGGTGGGGAGGGGCTATGAAAGAGGGTTGGCAGAGGAGGAGAAGCACCAGCACTGGACATACACTGGTTGAATTTTGGGGTCCCGGGGTGCTCTCTGAGCTTGGCTGTTTCCTTGCAGGCGTTTCATGACCCAACTAGGTGACATCATCAGTGCTGGTGAACGTGGGGGAACCCGTCCCCTCCAGCAGTCAGCACTTAGATAAGCAGGGATTAATACCAGACAAACAATCAAGGAGAAAACAACACCCAGTAACACTGGCAAAGAAGGCAACTATATAAACAGGATACAAACTCCATCCTCCCTTACTCTGATGAAGTTACCTAGTTGGGCAGTGGAATGTCTGCAAGGGAACAGCCAGCTTCAGAGAGCACTAGGGACCCCACACTCCCCTTCCTCCTCCTCCTCCTCCTCTTCCTCCTCCTCCTCCTCCTCTTTTATTCCACTCTGCAAACTCCTTCCCTTCTAGCACCAATGGTCTTATAGCAATAGCAATAGCAGTTAGACTTATATACCGCTTCATAGGGCTTTCAGCCCTCTCTAAGCGGTTTACAGAGTCAGCATATCGCCCC